AGCATCTCATACATTTCTCACTGGTGTACAGCAGAGATCTGAGGGAGACACAGTTTGAGAATATTGGAGAAAAAGATACAGAGACATAGACTCTGGAGAGAGCACTGATACTGCAACAGCATCATCAATGGATTCGGGGCTTGTCACTGTTCCTACCACAATAGCTATATTTTACTGCCTAACACCTGAACTACCCCTGCTGAAAAGGTTGAGGGTTGTACATTAATATCATCGTGACAAATAAAGAGTACACTATTGCTTGGTGGGGAAGAGGAGGTGGGGAAGATGAGTGCCTCCCTCCGCTCCTGGCTCTCCAAGCCTGCTGGCCAGGTCACTGACTACATCTTCTGTTCATTAAAGTGCAGAAAATGTGCAAGAGGTTGGAAAGAGGCTCAAAGTGCAATCAGAAAGTTGGTAACAGTCCTGACATCCCCTCTCTCCATCACAGCCAGCAGCCCTTCCAAAGTGCTAGCAATGTCAGCTGGCATAAAATCCTTTACAGGAGTTGACTGAGGTGGTGCACTGTCACGTTTCCTCTTTCTTACTGTAAAGATTAGGGTTTGGGGGGAAGAGTTATATAACACTTAAAAAAAAACATGAGAGCAATGCCATTTGCATATATATATATATATATATATATTTTCACATGGGTGTTTGTGTAGGGTGGGTGCTAATGTTGTTAATTCCACCTTTTCCCTGGATTTACTCCTGAACAGAGACTTGTGGCTCTCTGAGAAGTGCCTGAATCCTTGCAGTGACTTCATGGCAGTGGACAATACAGCACACCGGTTGTGCTGATGAGAAGATTAGGTATAGAGAGATTAGTGACTTGCCCAAAGCCACACAGAAAATCTGTGTCACTTTGTAAATTACTGCAATCATCTTCAATCCCCTTTGAAATCTAACATTTTCCCTTCCCTTGAAAACGTGTGTAGAAACATTACAACCTTTTATCGGCTTTCCAGAGGCAAAATCACTGATCACTTATGCCTGGCTAAAAGCGTTGCAGTTGCCAATGCTCAGAGTGGTTTCCTTACCAGTTTTGTTTGTTTTGCTGTGAAACTCCTGCTGTGAATGTTTGAGTCCTTGGAATTATTGTTTTTTCATTAGTACCTGAGATAAAGGACAATGAGACACTTTGATTTGAAAATCCGTAACACAGCTGGAGCCGGGAGGTTCCACCCCCCTTTCCACCCACCACCACGCAAGCCAAGTGTCAGGCTCTGCCAGCTCAGCATTGCTGGTGTCACTCTTTCCTGTTCTGCAATGTGCAAACAGCCCGGTGACATAGCGGGGTAACGCTGTTTGAACAATCTCTTCAGTCAAGGATTTTTCCAAAATAAATTGGATGGGAATCAACGGACATGCATGTGAGTGTGATAATGCATATCGCGCGGGGAATAGAAAATGCAGCATGTTATGGCAGGAAACGAGGCAGGAACATTTTCTCAGCAAATCTGGCTTGACGAGCTAGCAGGTGGTTGCAGAGGCAAAAGAGGACAGGCTTCTTTTCTGCTTTGCAGGACGGATGGAGTTGGTAATGTCCTGGGAGCGATCTATGGAAGGAGAGGGGTAAAGGGATGCCCCTGCTTTTTTGTCTCACCTAAAAGACGTTACTTAACATTGATTGCCTACCTAAAGTCTTTGCTTTCTCAAAATCCCCTGTGAAATTCACCCATTTTGAACAAATCGCTCTTAAACAGTTTGCTACTGGAGGAAAGGACTCTTGAGTTATTTCTAGTGGAGTACTATCCCTTGTGGAGGCTCAAAGCGTGTGTTTTGTGTGTCATTTCCTAGGGCGTGCTTTGAGAAGACCACCTGGGTTGAGACCAGGCGCTTTCGCTCATCCCTGCATAGAGGTGGACCATGGTGTTTCTTTGCAAGCTGGACTAGCAGTGATCTCTGTCAGTCCTTGGACATTGTGTCAAAGGGTGACAGGAACGACTCATATTTGATCTTGAAGATCTTCCTGATAATTCAAGATTTCTTTGGGCTGGATTTTTTGGACTGTCCCTGTTGACCTGTGGCATTGGGGGGCTGGATTCTGGTAAGTGTTTCTAGTGAGGCTGGTATCTGACAGCTGGTATATCTCTGAAACCTGGGGAAGAGGGGATGAAGGAGGAAGCTCCTTCAGCAAGGCGTGAAGGACAGTGAGACCTCAAGGACTCTATGTCTCTAGGAGGACTCCTGGTAAGGGAGGCTGAATCACTGCCTTGACGATCGCTTTCTTTAGTGGGGAGTTGGTCTGTGCTGTCTGGGGTGTGCCAACAAGTAACATCAAACACAGTAACACCTTTCATTTCTCAGACGGGGTTTCCTTCATGCCGAATCACACCTTCCTCCGTACTTGTTTGTGTGCGAACACTTCAACACTTGCGTGGGGCTTCTCTTCCAGAAGGCTCTGCCCTTGCCGCCGTCGCATGGCGGCTGGGCTGAGCTGGTGACACACAGCTGACGAGCGTGGCAGTGGATGCTATTTGCCTCTAAGTCCTGGCCAGACACCGGGAGCAAAGGACTGGAGACTACAGTAGCGGCGACTGTGTTTGCTTGGGGCTCGTGTTACCCTGCTAAGCCCCCATCGAGGCAAATGTCCCCGAAGCTGTCCCCGTGCATTCCTCCAGAGCCGGCTGCCCCCAGCAACACCTTCACGGGACAAGGTGAAACATCTCAAGCCTCAAAATATTCTTCTTTCAGATGGCCACCTTCTGAACGGCCTCTGTTTGCAGAGCAATTCTAGTCAAGTGGAAAACGTGACTTCTCCCAGTATACCACACCAATGTGACCAAAACCGTTATCAGAAGGTTATCAAAATGCTTGAATCTGGAGTCAACTTTGTGCTATATAAAGCAAACTAACATTTTGATAGAAGCGTTGGTGTGAATGAAAGTTAAAATAATATAAAAGGGTTAATTTTCTGTTGCAAAGGGAAGGTTTTTGGTTTGTTTGGGGTTTTTTTTACAGTCTCAGAAGGTTTCATGAGGAAGATTCCCTTTGAGCTGTTCAGCTCAGCTAAAGAAGGTAGAAATTTTGCTTGGTCTTGTGACATTTCATGGGACATACTTATTAGTCCTGACACTTTAGTCAGCCAGTGTGACATGCCGGCCAGTCTCTATTTTCTTGCTGATATTGCACCAGTCGCTGCAATATATAGAAAAATCCCCCCCCACATGACACCCCGGGCCATGTGATGGGAGGGAACGTATGGCGACACTTTCATATTGGGAATATAATGAATTTCTTCACTTTGCCTGGAAGCAGCTCCCAGAAAAGCAATATTAAACAGTGGTGTCTAAGCAGCAGTCCCGAAGGCGGCGGTGACTGCTGCAGCGTGGGCTGGAGTGGCTCAGCAGGTTGCCTGATCCCTGCAGGAACCAGGAGGCTGTAGGCTCCCGGGCTGCCCCTCAGTAGGAGACTGTGTCCTTGTCCCCATGTGTCACTGACGCGGCAGGTCCTACACCCGCTCCCACTGCTAGAGGGGGCTTGTAAGGACAGCAGCCGGGAATGGCTGGTGGGAGAAGTGGAAACAGCACCTTTCCCCGCACTTGGCACGTACAGACTGTTGATGAACCGTTAATAACTTCTGTATGGTCACCAGGTGTAACAAGAAAGGGCTACTGAATAACCCAGTGTATTTTAGCAGCTACATTGCTATCTCTCTAGATAATATTTTACTTCTGGTTTTAAGTTTTTGCTGTCCTTGCATGATGTTACACTGGAATAAACTGTTCTCTCCAGTGCAGAAAGTGTTCAGGGAAGGACATGTAAGAAATTATGGGAAGCAAGTTGCTAAAAATCCTTTAATTTTCAGTTCCCAAAAACGCTAAGCCCTCACACTGAGGTGTGCTGTATGTCACTGACACATCAGCCCATCCAAAATATGCACTTCAGTGAGGAATAAGTTCTTGTGAAATGTGCAGGAGACAGCACTGGGGACTGAAGTCCTCAGCTCCTCTGTGAAGCCAACCCAGGGGGGCAGCAGCCGTGAAATTTTCTATTCCCTTTGCTGCAATGTGCCTTGGCTCTCACCCAGGGAAACCTCTTCAAGAGGAGTACAATTCAGATAACGACTTGGCAAACCCTTCACTGCATCAGGACTTCGGTTTCCAGGCTCACTCCAGGCAAAACTTAACCTCTCCTGTGTGGATGTGGCAGCCCTCCGGTACGGGGCTGTTGTGCAAAAATAGGCAATATGGCATTTTCTTGAGCTCTTGGTTCCCCTTGACCAGCACGTCTCTCTCTGTGCTTTTCTCTTTCCCCTGATGAGATTACCACCCTGTGCTGGGTGTAAATTAGGAAGAAAAAATTAGGTGCTGGACCAGTCTCCTGGCAAAATCCATCTCCCGTCTCCCCTGCAGGGCAAAACACTGGAGTACGGGCAGCCGCAATAGTGATTCCTGCTCTGCCGCTGAACTCAGCAAGGAGCTGACATTGGAAAGGGGGTTGGGAGACTGAGCGAGAAGTGAAGAAGCAGAGCTCCTCCAGGGGCTGGGAAAACTACCCTGCAGTCTGAAAGGGAAGCAAACGCTTTGTATGTGGTTGGATTAATTTCTGGGCTTCACCACATGTATACACAATGAGTAGATAATAATCTGTGGGGGTCTGGGTAGAGGTTTAGGGTCAGCTGTGTGGGTTAGGAAAGCCAAGGAAAATTCCTTGGGAAGGGCACAAGGAATTTGCCTTAATGGGAAGGGGGTCTGCTCCTTCAGAAGGAGGAAGGGTGGGCTGGGATGGGGGGAGGAGGCACCTCATACACAGCCACCCGTGCCACTTCTCCATGGTGCCGGGCAAGAGTGTCCTCTGGCAAACAAGTGTGCAAGGCTGTCTTCTGGGGTTAATAAGTACAACGAGGAAAGGCCCCTTCACAGCCAGCGTTACCCTGCAAGGCACCACCCCTTGTGATTTTCCAAGCAGAAAGGCACTGGGAACAGCGGCTCTGGCGCAGCATTGCAGGGCTTCACGGGATTATTTATTCACTGTGTTCCTGGAACAGCTCCAGGCTTCCCATCTCTGCCTCCAGCGTACAAATTCATCAAGTATCCACAAGGCTCACAATCCCCAGAGGCAAGAGAAGACAGTAGGAAGGTGATTCATATTGCAAATCACACTGTCTCCGAAGGACCTGCAGGGCTCTGGAAAGACCGAACCAATACCCTCCCTTCTTCTACCTCCCTAACGCTTAATCAGGGTAACTAAGGCAGCAGACTCAGTCTGGATGGATTTCATTGCCGGGGCCATTGGAGGTAAATACATAAAGTAGTGCTTGTTGGTGAAAGCAGATCGCTGTGTTTCCTTCTTATTCAGCTAACGGGCAGGTCTCAATGGCAGAGCTGAGAGTCTTTCGATGGGGGCTGCTTGTTAAAAGTGCATTCTTCTTTATTAAACGGAAAATGTCATCAGAGCAGGTTCACAGAGCTACTGGAGAGGCAGCGCTGCAATTTGGTCGGCTGAGGTCACTGCCCTGCAATCTCCTCCGGTCTAATTGCAGCGGGACAGGGCAAAACTCTGATAGGAAGAGACAAAGTGGAATATGTTGCGTGCAGATACAAATTGGTGAGTAATGCCTGGACAGCAAAACCTCATGTGTTTGGTGCCTGAGGGTCCTGGCAGGCTGTTGGGGTTGTGGCTCTGGAGGGCTGAGGATGCGAGTTGTGAGACGGGAGAGGTAAAGGCATGGCTTTTCACAGTGAAGAAAGTCTGAATGAACGACCTTTGCATTATCTTAGGTTAAGATGTATTTGCAGCTGTGATGGTAATTTCAGTGCAGGCGTGCTACGTAGTAGGCTTTGATCTGGGAGAAAGTAGGTTAGCTATATATAAAAAAAGTAAAATGATAAAAGTGTGATTTAATTCTAGACATTTTTAGAGCACGTACTGCTCAAACCCAGCTTTGTTTTAAACAAGAAAATGTAGCCACTGGTCTCATTTCTTTTCTGAAATCTTATCAGATTTAGTGGAGTATCAAATACCAAGCCAAGAGCGTTGGGGTCGCCACTGCCAGAAAGGCCAGGTAAACCTGCCAGATGGCTGAGATGCCCAGCCCAAGCCTGCATGTCAGATCCCACTTTGAGATCTGCTGAAATTTGGCAGTTTCCTTCACCAGGAGCAGCCTGTGGTCCTGGTGCAGATGTGCATTTCCTGGGAAGGACCACAATGAGTTTTGCCCTGCAGCCCCTTATTGCTTGTCACCCAAAATGTGCAAGTGGGGTGAGGTTTGGCGTCTCAGCGGCATCCAGCCTTGGAGGTGCCTGTTGCTCAGGGTGTTGGCCTTCCTGGGGTGCTGGGGGACCCTGTTTGGGAAGGATCCTTCCTGGGAGAGTGGGATATAACCAACCCCTCCGTGACAGCTTGCCTTTCTCCTCCTCTTTCCTTGCTGACTTCAGAGCCCCCAGTGGAGATGGGAGCTCTGTGCTGGGGCTGGCAATGGGATGTCCATCCCAGAGGGATTCACCAAAACTCCCCTGAGACTTCACGTTAATGGTGGGGCAGCGATGATTGCGTTTGCTGCTTGGACTCCTTTGCTTTTGTTGTCACCGTTGGAGCTGAGCCACTTAAGGATAAAGTTCTTTTGCAAGGGAATGTGGAGTTTCAAAGTGGCCATTCTCCTCAGCCTTCTGCCCCTGCTCCCATGCAAAGCCGTGGTTTGTGCGGTGCCCCCCTGTCCGGGCACCAGCATTGTGTGCTGCCCGGCCATGCAGCAAGTGTTTCCCATGTGTGCCCTGGAAACAGGCTCAGCCTGGGAGGATGCAGGCTGGGGAGCTCCAGCTGGGACCAGAAATGCCTTTGCTTGTTTTAACGCACTTCACTGACCCCAGGGTGTCAGACAGCAAGATTTTTTCATCCTGTCATCTGGGTCCAGCTCAGGGCTTTTCTAAGAGGGATAATGCAACTTTCCACTGGCAGACAGGGGTGTTTTCTGGCATGCTGTTCCCTGCTGGGAGCTTGCACATAGACATGTGCCAGGTACCTGGGCAGGGCTTCAGGGCCGTGGTCCCTACCCCGACATGGGACAGCTTCCAGGGGTGGAACAGCTTTCCTGTGAGAACTGGGATATTTTTGGTGCTGAGCTTATTTCATGGCTTGTGTTTGTTAGAGCTGAAGCAGTTTTTGCATTCCCAAGGAGGCTGCAAACCCAGCTGAAGTGCATCAAACAACTCAAGATAATAACAAACAGCACAGATAATAACAGAGTTTCTGTTTAGTAATACATTCTCGTGACCTTGATCTGTTTTCAGAGTGTTTTGGAGAAAACATGGCTTAAGTACCTCTGAAAAACAGCAGAGATGCTGCCCTTTTGAATCCCATGTAATGATCCAGCCTGGCTCAGGCACCTGCACAAATATTGTGCATCTCCTCTGAGCTATTGCTTCTGTTGGTCATGGGACAAGTTCAGCATCCTCAGCCCAGGAAACAGTGACCTGCTGTGACTCCAGATGGAAAAAACTTGGGAGAAACATGCTTAGTGACCACGGAGACTTTCAAAAACCACCAAATGGGGCTGGATGTTGTGGAAAGCAGCTCATCTGTAAGGATATCCTTCCTGGCCAATAAAGCTGAGCAGGAGGTTGGACTAGAGACCTCCTGAGGTTCCTTCCAACTTTAATTTTCCTGTGATCCCATGCATGTTTTCTAGCCCTGCTACGGCAGCAGCCTGGGCCACGGCAGGGGATGGGTATTGATGATTAGGGCTATCGATGACTAGGGGATGACTTTACTCTTGTGCCAGGCGTGAAGATTTGGGAAGGGGAAGCTGAGGTTCACCCAGCAGTGACAGAGCAGCAGGGTCTGCAACAGGCCGGGGCTTCTCCACATCTTGCTGCAAGGTTACACACCAGTCACATGCAGTCCAAGGGTAGATAAAATAGTCCACCTACGGAGGGAACATGCTGTCTCCTTGTCCTTACAGCTAAAGCAGCTCCTGCTGGCCACTGCCAGGGTCATGTTACGGGATGGAGTTCAGCTTGTTTAGGGTATGGGGCACTTCTTATGTTCCTATCTCTTCGCAAAGTAAAGGTCTTTGGAAGTTGCTGTCTACCCATCCAGCACATGGACCACAATCCCTGCTTCTCCCTGGGTATCCCAGCCAGGTGTTTGCCAACAGCTCAGGGCTGTTGCAGCCCGGTGGGCTCTGTATGGCTGCCACTTGCTCTCTGCTGATTGCCGTTGCGGTGGCCATCCTGCCAGGATCCGTCCTTATTTGAATTGCCTGGTTGAAGTGGCCTGACTCATGAAGAGTCTGTGAGTAATCCAGTTTTGAACCTGCACTGTGTGCGTGTGTGTGTGCGTAGGGGATGCCGCAACCTCTGCACAATACCCAAGAACATCTCAGATAAAGTAGGCATAAAAAATGGCTCACTACAACCCAGCAAAGATCATTCACCTGGTTTTGCCATTTACTTTCATCACAGCTGGTGCAGTGTTATGCAGCAGGAGTCCCACAGGATCCCTCTCCCGTATGCATGCTATGCATTGCTGGCCTTGTTCGTTTCTGCTGTGCGAACAGGGCATGTGTGGGTCATGCTATCTTTGTCCCAGGCTATTTATATTGCATGACACTGTGCAGAGCCTTTCTTCCTCAGACTTTGATGGACTTGGCTGAGCTCCTCACCTCTGAAAACGTAACTGCTCAGAGTGCTTTGACTCTTAAGGAGCGCAGTTCACGGCAGACTGTAGTTGTTCGGAGGTTTGGGGTGCCCACATCTCCACTTTGGTGGGAACAGTGAAGGATTTACCCTTATCGTCTCCTCCCAAGTGGAGATGTTTGGTCCTTGCTGGCACCAAGGTGTGCCCCTAGAACTGAGAAGCAATGGGAAACAAGCTGTTTTGGGGCAAACCTGCTTTATTTTGTCTATGTTGCTGCTGTCTCTGCATCTTAATGTATGAACAGGGCAATTTCTCCAGAAGGGAGGACACTTCTTGTCGAACACTGACCGAAATCGGCCTTGGTACCTGATGTGCATGAGCCAGGGCTCCTATCTTCCTGAGCTGGTGGAGCAAGCCGGGGCTTAGGTGTGCAAGGCACACGGTGCCCCTGCGTCGCCAGCATCTGGTCAGCCTGCATCTGCTGCCTCTAAGGTTCAGGAAGCCTGAAACCGATGTGATGTCAAATCCTCCCATCTGGGATGGGTTCTTGGGCCAGGGGACCGCACCTCTGAGGTCAGCACAGTCAGGCTGACATTGACTTATGTGCTGCTCTTTCCTGTCTGGCGGGGTCTGTGTTTGCAGTCTGCCGACGGCCGATGGCCAGGAATCTGGGACAGTACAGGTGGCCCCGGGTGACTTGTGCGTTGTCACTCTGCTCAGACCAGAGGCATTGCTCCTTCGAGCCATATTACTCTGTCTGTATATTCCCCCTTGCCGTCTCTCTTCCAACCTGATCTCATTTTGGTTTTGAAATACAGAAGGTGGCTTCTTGGCCCATTTTTCATCTTCATTGCTATTTATCTGGTGGCAGATTTGATAGAGATTTTTGCAGAACAAACCTCATTTTTCTTCAAGCAAGATGCTGTTGGTTGTTTTCTTCTGAATAATGTGCTTTGGGATTGTCTCCCAGTGACTCACACCAGCAGCTGCTGCTTCATTCCCCAATGTAGTGGAGTTTTCCAGAGCTCCCAAGCAGCCATGTAACCACAGGTGAACATGCCTAGTGAAATGCCCACAGCAACTAATAAATTTTTAAGTATCTCCTTTTTTATTTTTAAAGAAGGACTCAATGAGAGGCAATTTCCAACCTGTGAGCCACCAGACGTGCACTGTATCTATGACTGCCTGGCTCCCTGAAGGGCTCATCCAGCACTTTCATGAACCTGATCTCCATCTAAATAACTCACATGGATTCAGCTCCATTGTCTCCCGGCCTGATTTCCTCTCAGGTGACTTGGCAGTTGATGTACTGGGAGGAAGTTAGCTAGTCAGACCCTTTATCATCTGTTGTATCTGCCAACAGATGCGTTTAGATCAGAGCTGAGAAATGCAGTGGAGGTAAAGGTAGGGACGGTGGGTGATCTATCTGTTACTGCGACCAAGACAAGTCTGTGTCGGAGCTCTTTCGTGCTCCTTATCTGCCATTAAGGCAGTAACTTTGTCTCATAGGATTAATGCATTTCCAACTCCAGTGGCTATTTTAAGGTCTCAGAATGAGCCTGGATGTCGATAGAGGATTGACAAACCCCCCCAGCACGATGGACATGCCGTCACTGCTGCAGGCAGGGAGTCGCAGTCAGCTGGTGTGCGGGGCGTGCTGCTGAGCACGCTGGCTTTGTGCATGCCTGGCACTAATCTCTCTCTGCCCCTTAATCCTGCTGAGCCCCGAGTGGCGGAGGGCGGGTTTCTCACCACAGAGCAGCTCCGCCGGTTGTGCTGTGCCCCGGTGTCACACCAGCCTGCCAGGGCTCCAAGTGACCTTTGCTTTTGCTCCTTGCTCTGCTTTTGCAGCAGTCTTTGGTGCACATAGGAGATGCACTTCAGAGGCTTAGTCCAGCATGGTGCCATGGACCCTAGTGCCTAATGAATTCCTCACACAGGGCTCTAGATGTGCTTTGTAAGCTTCATCCAGGACATGTCCAGTCCCTGGCGTGCAGGAGGCAGCAGGAGTACCTCTCCTGTCTTCAAGACAGATTGCTGAGAACCTGTAATGTGTGAGGACCACCCCTCTTTTATTAATGTCCTTGTGACCGCTGCTTTTATTCCTTAATATTTCCAAGTCAAGCATGGAGAACCAAAATTGCTCCAGAGACCCCTCGTGTGAGTGGGAATGCTCTGCACCTCACGTGAGGGTGCTTGGTCACAGTCCAAAGATGCTGTACCACCTAAGCTGAGAGGGGGAACAGAAACAGCCCGATATCGTACAAGTCATCCCTTCAGCCTTCCTGCCGAGTCCCTTTTCAGAGGGCTGCTCAGAGCCCACAGAGCTGGTGGTGTGCACAGAGCTTTTCTCGCAGCAGTGCTTTCTGTGTTTCCCCCCATCCCAGCTTGCACCATGGTGTTATTCCTCCTGATAGGTTTCCCCTGACACTGGGATTCCTCCTCTGAGCGTGCCTTGGTCATGCAGAGAAATCTGCGCATTTTGCTCTGTCATTCTTGGCTCAAATGTCATTGCTGGAGCTCAAGAGAAGTCTGGTGCCAAGAACGGCACGGCTCTGAAGCTGCATTCTTCTGCCGTTCCCCTAATGACTTGCCAGAATGGGGGGAAATGGTCTGTTGCAATGTGCGCTGTTAACCACCTCCAATACACTCTCTTTTTCAGGTGGTCTAAGCACAGCAGTGGGTTATCCGCTGGACACAGTGAAGGTATGGGTTGGAGCTTTATTTCTTGACTACAGACTGAAAACAAACAGGCCCTTTTGCTTTTCCCCCCCCTTTTTAGAAAACTATTTCCATGATAATGCTTTCATTTTTGTTATATCAACATATTTCACTTTATTTGATTGCATTGTTTTTCTCTCAAAAAAAAAAAGTAAATTGTTTGGGGATGCTATTTTATGACTAATTAACTAGTTTGCTGCTATGGAATTTGTTGATTTTTTTTTTTTTTTTTTTTTTTTTTTTTTTTTTTTTTTTTTTTTTTTTTTTTTTTTTTTTTTTTTTTAATCTGATGCCTGCATTTTATTAAAGTTGCCCCTGTATTCCTAGGTGAGAATTCAGACCGAGAGGCATTACAATGGGATTTGGCACTGCATTCAGGAGACATACAGGACAGAAAAAGTAGGTACTTCTCATCAGAATTGCTGATACCATTTATAGATGCCTTGTTTCAGAGAAGCAGAGCTGCCTCTGTCAGTTTGGGGAGGACAGGCAGCAGTTACATACAAACCATCTGTTGGGAGAAGGGTCAGGATGAAATTTAGCTTTGTCGATGAGCTGTAAGGTGGAGTGTTTTGGCTTCTGCAATGTATGGCCGGTGTTTTCAGGCAGGTGCTTTCCCATTCCATTCCCTCTTAAAAGTGTTCTTTTTCCCCTGTTTCCAACTAGGTTTGGGGATTTTACAAAGGTGTGTCTGCATCAGTCCTCACAGTATCGGTGATTTCTTCTGTTTCATTTGGCACGTACAAAAACTTCCTTTGTACCATCTGCAAGCTGCGATACGGGGCTGCAGATGCAAAGCCATCCAAGGTGGATGTTTCTCTTGCTGGAGGTGCTGCCGGTGCTGTCCGGGTAGGTAAACAGCTGAAAGGGAAAGCACAACAAGAGCTCTTGTTCACGAACATCGGAGGCTGGAAAAGCAGTGAATGTTTTCTGTCCGGGAGGCCACAGGGGAGCCTGCAACAAGCCTGGCGGGTTTGTTTTCGCAAGGGGTCATGCTCTGCCCGCGCTGCCCCCTCGCTGGTCTGCTCCACGATGTAGCCGAGTCCTGCTGGGCAGCTTGTGCCGGATTTGGTTTAGAGCGTCAAAACACTTAAGAACACGCTATTAAGAATGACATGGACCTTGGCAGCAAAGGCAGAAAAAGGAAGCAAAACAACCTGGGCAGCAAACTTTTAAGTGGCTCTGACAGTATGTTTGTGTGAGAAAGACGTAACTCAGTGTGTTAAAGCACAGGCCAGGGTTTTGACAGTGGCTGCACAAGCCCGGCATGGTATCGCTGTCGAAATGGGCAGCACACAGTGTTGCCTTGTCAGGACTCAAAACTCAACAGGGCATCATTGAGACGTGATGCTGCCTGGCAAACGTGCATGATCCCAGGACAGGGAGGTGAGGCTGAATTCAGGAGCAGTTTCCCATAAGCAGATGGATCTCTGTGAGCGTCTGCAGGCGCTGTGAACACGGCGGAGCTCACCCCGGTGCCCCGATGGCATGCTGGGCAGAAATGCGTGCCCGGTCACAGGCAATCCTCTTACAGAGCAGTCCAGATGGTCGTGTTTCTAGGTGTTTCCTAGCAGTCAATGACTCTACTTAACACAGGTTAATTTTTTTAAAGTGTTTATGGCCTTGGTTCCAAGTATAGACACATACAAGAGACTTATGTATGCTACCCTATAGCTGAGGACATCCCCTTTCCATGCCTATCTGGTTTAATGAGTTGTTATAGGTATTTAATATCCCCTGTTGATTTCTGCCTCACCTTCCACTCTGCACAGTGCAGCTCACACGCATGTGCTGCTGCTGCTGGGTGGGATTTAGCACAGACAGAGGGGAAGAGGCTGGAACTTGCTGGCTTCAGGCAATATTATTGCCTGAAAAGGTGGGAGACAAGGAATTTGCAGGAGGCGGATCAAAACACTGTTTAAATGCAAAGGGTTAAAATACCATCCTCTGGTGTTACAGGTTGTGTTGATGACCCCTAGTGAAGTGGCTAAAGTTCGCATGCAGACTCAGAGGAACCCACATCCTTCCGTTGCATCTCCCCAGCCTGTTTCCAAGCCAAAGTACCGAGGATCTCTGCACTGTCTGAAGGTGATCGCCAAGGAGGAAGGTTTTGGGGGTCTCTACAAGGGCTGCTCTGCATTACTCTGCAGGGATTGCTCCTCTTCTGCAATATATTTCCTTACCTATTCTGCTCTGTGCGACTGGCTCACACCAGCTGGGAAAAATAAACCAGGTAGGTATCAGAAAGCATCTGGCATTACCTGCAAAAAACGGCTTATTTAGTACCACGCTAAGAGGGAAATCAGGCTCTCGGCAAACATCACCCAGTACCTATAAAACCTCACCCAGATCCAGTCCTTGTGTGGGGTTGCTGTGTGTTTGCTTCCTGGCGTCACGGGGCCATTTGTGCCCTCCCGGTGCGGGTGCCAGCAGCCTGCATGCGAGGGCTTTGCCAGCACAACTTTGTCCCTCAGCAGCTACTCCTCTCCCTGCGGGAGGGGTGTTTATGGAATGCTCTGGTGCCTAGTATGTGGGTATGAAATCTTCTTAATGCAGAAATAAGATGTGTAACTAGAAATGAAACACGGACAAACTTCCCAGGAGCCATCATGGAACATGGATCAGGGTCAGTCCAGAGCTTGAAAATAAAGTCCAGGTGCAGAATGTGAAGACGCTTAAGTTTCCTGGCTGTGATTTGGCTCCAAAAACCAACTATCCACTTTGAGAAAAGATCGAATAGGTGACATTCAGCAAAGAGCATCTTCTTGAGAATTATAAAAATAAGTAGACCCATCTGAAGAGGGTGTGAGTGCTCTCAGGCTGCATCACATCTAGTTTGTGCGGTGTTAAAATAGATGCTGTCTCTGCATGAGCCAGTATCATGTATGCAAAAATGAGTATGCTGTGAAATCGAGAGGCCACACAGTTTGTGTGAGACCACTGAAAACTCACAACTGCAAGAGCTGGACAAATTAACTGCTGAAAAACATGAAAGTTAACAAAGTTAGTTAACAAATCTGAGATGCTTGTAGCCGTATCAGTGCAAGTCTCGAGTTAACTGCTCCTCCCTTCACTCTCTCCTCCAGGTTTCCTTGTTGTGCTGCTTTCCGGTGGTTTTGCTGGAGTCCTGGCCTGGGGATTAGCTACTCCCATGGATGTCATCAAATCACGGATGCAAACAGATGAATCAGACCAGCACAAGTACAAAGGCCTCGTCCACTGTGCTAGGGAAAGTGTGAGAAAGGAGGGTGCAAAAGTGCTTTTCAAAGGACTGGGTTTGAACTGCATTCGTGCCTTTCCTGTGAACATGGTGGTGTTTGTAACATATGAAGCTGTACTGAGATTTACAGATCGTTATACAAATAAAAAATAGCTTGTGCCACTCAGTTCAGAGGTGTATTTTGTTTAGTGTTTTTTTTTTTTTTGTAACACAACAACCACAAACAACTGCTGAACACCGTCCCCTTTGACGGGCTGTGTAAGAAGCATGGACATTTCAGCACAAAGCTGAATGACTGGCGGCTTTGTTTTATTCTTATAGGATTACAAACTCATCAGGGAGTCTTGGACTTATATACAACCTCCCTTTTATCTTGTTAATGTATTTAGACTGTAGCCACTGCTTAGGCCCTTGAAACTTTTGCAAATATTTATGTTCTAAAAAGCTGCTAGTCTGATCAGAGATTTTGGTTTCTACCGTGCCAGAAAATGATCTTCATGACCAAGGCAAAAGCTGGGGGGAGTTAATGTTACGATTTAATGCTATCCAGTGCATGCTCCTTACACATAATGATGGTATTGCAGTCACTGAGTAACTTACATATTTGTGCTTCAGGCTGCAACTTCTCCTTCTCAGCTGTATTTTTGCCCAAGCACTCTACAATTATATCCCTTTGGGAGCAGCTGAAATATGAATCTCCTTGCTTTTTCCTGTCATTGTTTAATGAGTGGCAGACATGGGCTGTTTACATAATCGTGCTAATGGCCTCATTGAAAGTGAAACCAGGCACGGATTCCTGTAAGCCCTGGGATTTTCTCTCTGTGCAGCCCTGAGCCCTACAGCATCAGTCCTCTTCCGGAGGCTGATGGCACCGTGGCTCTCTGGAGCTTGGCACAGCTTTGCAGGCAATCTGTTCTCATCCTGGAAGGATGCAAAACCTCTTTGCTTCTCAAAGGAAAGGCTGCCATAAAATCTGTGCGCTAGCGGGGTTAGGCAAGTTAAAGGAGAATTGCAAAGTTGTAGAGTATAATTAAGATTTACAACTTTTAAAATGTGCATACTCTGCTCATTTTAAACTACACTGTTAGGAGCAGCCAAATGTTTTTTGTCAAAGGTACATTTTGAGAGAATTTCTGACTTTCCTAACAATTATTTCTTTTTCACAAAGGTATAAAGTTTCATCAACATGTCAGTTGAAAAAAACAACACCCACACTATTGCTTCAGAAGGAAAGTCCCTAAAACCAGAAATACTTTAATTTGCTCATCCCACCTCAAGAGCATCATAAATGTTTTCTGTCTCCGTTTTAATCCCTGCATGATGACATCTGGAGTAGACTGGATCCAGCCCCTATCAGATTCTGTTGAAAGTGCATTTTTTGGAGGGAAAGAGGAAGACTATATTTTTAAAGGAGTTCTCATATTCAGGGTTGATGCCCTTCTGGTCTGCAGCCACTTTTACCAGTTGATAGCATGTCCTTGACTACGCTGACAGTAATTTTGCAGCAGACAGGACTTGTCAGCTACTCTGGACATATAAAAATGGATCTTGTACTAGAAGGTCAAGTTTAAAATTTTCAGGTGCTACTTGAAAAGAATAAAGGGGACCTCTTCCACTCCAGAGAGTGACCAGTAAAAAGCTCCAGAACTGTCCTCCTGAAATCTAAGCCTTCAACTGACTTTTTAAACATGTTCACAGCCATGCTATCAAACAACTATTATAATTATTTCTCTCAAGAATCTATCCAGCTCTTGCAGCTCATCCAAAAGCAGGTTTAAGAGACCAGATGACCAGGCAGGTGTAGAGTATGTCACCTTACAGGGGAGTGAAATGAAAGACCCAACAATGAGCCTGATTCTCTCCCAAAGTTCTTATGGCCTCAGCAACCTACCACCCCCAGTTGCATCTTGGGGCATCAGCACCAGACTTCCTTTAGTCAGCAAGTCCTTACAACAGAAGATTTAATTAAGTCCTCAAGATTTGGAATTCCTCTTAAGATGGCTCTTAAAAGACCACTACCCTCACCTCTTTCTACAAGAGATGCATTTGACCGAGTGCTGTCCCAACTGGGTAGTGATTTATCCCAGTTCTGCCTGGATGTTTTCTGGAATCAAACTCCTTTATGCTGGATTATTCTCAGCCGACCTTGTTCTCAGGCATTATATCCTCTGAACAGAGACAGTAAAAAAACCCCCTGCAAATCAGACTAAACAACCATTTATTGTTAGGCAGTGTTGATACCATCCATGGTCAGCCCAAGATCTGAAAATAAAGTAGCTCAGCTTTCCTAATAGGCTCATGCATTCAGATGACTAAAAATGTCTCCTCCTGTGGGTGTAACTGAAATACAGCTGGTTTCAAGAAACAGGAATTACAGACGAATTGTAAAAATGAGTGGGAACAACTGCGGAAGCCAATGCGAGGGTTATAGGTATATGTTATAGGCTATAACAGCCCACACATTATGACTGCCTCTGCTAAGGAAAAAAGGAGGGCAATTGTCGTAGGCGATTCCCTTCTGAGGGGAACAGAG